GAATGAGCTTCATGATAAGATAAACCAACTTGGAGCATCTAGGAATGTGTTGAAAGAGCAATAAACTAAATGTAAAATTGACTAACTTCAGATGTGCATTAACAGTTTAAAGATTTCTAAGTTTGCCCTAGAAGAGAATCTTTTCTCCAGCAGTCACAGAGCTCAAGTTACAGAAAATTAAAATGAAGCCTCATCATAAGAGTGACATGATTACAACAAAAATTCATGTCCCAGCTGCAGGGGGAGGGGGCAGGATTGGTGATTAAAATAGGGGCATTAATTGGTAAAGAATGGGGTTCTGTATCTTATGATTGAGATGCATGGGAGGACCCTACTGAGGCTGGGAACTTTGAAGCCTCAGATTCTCAAGGGTTTATCTTACCCAAGGAAGTAGTCTCTCCACCCTCAGCAGAAGATATATTCCTAACCTAACTCCTCCAAAATTGCCTTATCCTCCTTTAAATAGTCGTATCCTCTTCTATAATAGTCTGCTAAATCAGCAGTGACTTTCCCTGAAGAATATGCCAGGTAAGACACCAGGGTCCAAAAGTTACCTCTAGACCTAGAGCCAGATTTAAGGCCAAGCAGGCTTCTAGAGGGGAGGTAGAAAGTGTAGTCCATGAGAAGGTGTTCTACACTACTAAAGAATTAAATGAGTTTGCTAATTCATTCAATCAGAAGTCTAGGGAATATGTGTGGGAGTGGATTTTAAGGGTGTAGAATAATGGTGGAAAGAACATAAAACTGGATCAGGTTGAGGTTATCAATATGGGCCCATTGGGTGGAGATTCTAGGTTTAAAATAGAAGCTCACACAGTTCAAAAGAAAGGTGTCAAATGTTTTTTGGAATGGTAGGCTGAGGCATTTGTCTACCTGATGGCCTACCTGAAAGGGGTTGGGGATGCCTGATACTGCTTGTCTTAGAGTTAATAAAGGGCTTTTAAGGCTCAGGGAAATTGCAATGTTAGAGTGGGTATGCTGTGTAAAACTTAATCCTTCACAATTGAAAACCCAGAATGCCCACTAGTGATCTTTTAAGATGTAAAATGGGGAGGGGGCACCAGCACATTTGAAGAGCTTTGTTGACACCCCTTTTCTTGTGCCAGGTCTTTGGGTTAGAAACATTGCCTGCTCAGTTGGATAAATTAAATGCAGTGGGTTTAGTTGGGACTTGAGTAGCAGGGGGACTGTAGTAGCAATGAATTGCCAAAGACAAGGTGATCCTAGTTATCATAATGGACAGCATAGACAAAGCAATAGCCATTATAACCTGACCCATAATGGGCAGCACAGGCAGGATCATTTTTATGATGGTATGACTGGTGTGGATCTTTAATACTGGTTAATCAATCATGATATTTCCAGGTATGAAATAGATAAGAGGCCTACTGCAATTTTGTTTGATCTATGTAAGAGGAAACATTCTTAAATGAAAGAAAGGCTACATTTATTGGTGAAATTATTAAGGCCACTCCACATAGTTAAAAAGGAGGTTTATTTAGCAGCGTAACTTACAAATGAAGGGATAGGTAGGTTGCAGGGTCTAGCAAAGGCATGGCGCAGTCAGGCGGTGTTCTCTGGAGAACTCTGCTCGGTCTACCTCCAGCCTCCACGATCCAGGAACAAAGAAAGGCAGTGCATCTGGATATTGGGTCTTCAGGGTCCTCTCTCAGCCCCACCTTGTAGGTATGACAGTTACCGAAGTCTCAATGGATATTGGAACTTCCATATCAAAGCTGGAATGGCTACCCACTACATACATTCTTTCTGGATTGTGGATAAAAGAAATCTTCAGCTGGTAACCAAGTTCCAGAGTTGAGCCAGTTTACAGACCCAGAACCCCTTGAATGAAGAGAAGGCCAAGTCCTCCTTAGGAAGGACTTTGCTAAAATACTTGGGAGTTTTTACTATTAGCCTTTCTTCAGTCTTTCCCCAAAGCAACATATGGCCCTTTTCAAGGACAACTGTACACTAGGAAAAAGAGAAAATATCAGACTTTTCAGGGTCTATTGGATACTGGTTCAGAATTGACACTGATTCCCAGTGAGCCCATGAGGCATTGTGGTGCTCCAGTTAAAGAAGGGGTTTAGGAAGGTCAGGTGATTAATAGAGTTTTGACTGAAGACAGGAATACAGTAGGTTCCTGAATCATCCTATTGTTATTCTCCACTTCAGAATGTATAATTGGGATAGATACTTAGAAGTTGCCAGAATTCCCACTGGTTCCCTATTTGTGGAAGGATAGCTATTATGGTTGTAAAGGCCAAATGGAATATCCTGGAGTTGCCACTGCCAGGGAAAATAGTGAATCAAAGACAATTATGACAGCCCAGGAGAAACTGCAGAAGTTAGTGCTGGTATCAAAAACTTGAAAGATGCAGGGGTGGTGGTTCCCACCTCATCCCCCTTTTACTCTCCTAACTGGTCAATGCAGAAGACAGATGTATCTTGGAGAATGACAGTTACCTATCAAAAGCTGTCAGTAATGACTCTGATTGCAACCGCTGTATCAGATATTGTATCCTTACTTGAGCAGATTAACACATCTCCTGGTACATGGTATGCATCTATTTATCTAGCAAATGCCCTTTTCATAGTACCTGTCCATAAGGACCACCAGAAGCAATTTGCTTTCAATAAAGGCCAGCAGTATACATTTACAGTTCTGTCTCAAGGACATATTAACTCTCCCATCCTGTGTCATAACTTAGAAGGGAACTAAATCATCTGTCTCTTCCATAAAATATCACATTGGTCCACTATCTTGATGACATTATGCTGATTGGACCAAGTGAGCAGGAGGTAGCAGTCATTTTGGACTTGTTGATAACACATATGCATATCAGAGGATGGAAAATAAATCCAAATTCAAGGGGCTTCTACCTCAGTGAAATTTTTAGAAGTGCAGTGGTGTGAGACACACAGAAATATTCTGTCTAAGGTGAGGGATAAGTTATCATACCTGGCCCCTTCAAACACCAAGAATGAAGTGCAAAGTTTAGTGGGCCTCTGGATTCCCATTCCTTGTTTGAATGTGTTACTCTTTCCCATATACCAAATGACTCAGAGAGCAGTTAGCTTTGTGTGGGGCCTGAAACAGGAGAGGCTCTTCAACAGGTCAAGGTTGCTTGAAAGACTGCTCTACCACATAGACAATATGATGCAGCATACCCAATGATACTTGAGGTGTCAGTGCCAGATGGGGATGCTGTTTGGAGCCTTTGGCAGACCCCTACAGGAGAATCACAAAAGGCACCTTTGGGATTTTGGAGCAAGGCTCTACCATCATCTGTAGACAACCATTCTCTCTTTGAGAGACACCTCTTGGCATGCTAATGGACTTTAGTGGAAACTGAACATTTGACAATAGGCCACCAAATTACCATGCAAACTGAGCTGCTCGTTATGATCTGAGTGATCCAACAAGCCATAAAGTAAGATATGCACAGGTCAATCTATTAGCAAATGGAAGTGGAATATATATAAGCAAGCCTGAGTAGGTTGTGAATGCACAAGCAAGTTACATGAAGACGTTTCCGAAATTCCTGTGGTTTCTACTTTCATCACATGCTACTTGCTCCTAAGTATGCTCCTACAGCTTTTGTTGTTGTTGTTGTTGTTTTTGTTTTGTTTTGTTTTGTTTTATTTTTTCGAGGCAGGGTTTCTCTGTGTAGCTTTGCGCCTTTCCTGGAACTCGCTTTGGAGACCAGGCTGGCCTCAAACTCACAGAGATCCCCTGCCTCTGCCTCCCCAGTGCTGGGATTAAAGGTGTGCGCCACCACCGCCCGGCTGCTCCTACAGCTTTATGGGGTGTGCCCTGTGATCAGCAGAAAAAGGAAGGGAAGACTAGGGCCTGGTTTACCAATGATTCTGCACATTATGCAGGCACCATCCAGAAATGCACTGCTGCTGCACATTCAAGGGCCTTCTACCTCAGTGAAATTTTTAGAAGTGTAGTGGTGTGAACCACACAGAAATATTACATCTAAAGTGAAGGATAAGTTATTATACCTTTGAAACACCAAGAATGAAGCTCAAAGTTTAGTGGGCCACTGGATTTTCATTCCTTGTTTGAATGTCCCTCAAGAGCCATTACCACCTATCCTAATATTTAGAATGTGTTTGCAGTTGTGTGAGGCATTATTACAGTATGTTAGGACTAATTATGACCTGGTTAAATATACAATGTGTTTGTGGTTGTGGGTAGAAAAGTTATATTATGTGAGGCATAATTATGACCTGGTTATTGGTTTTATTTCAAAATTAAGCATGACATAGGAGATATGATTGTTTGTGAAGTTGACAGAGGGTAGACTCATGATGGCTATTCTTGGTTGTCAGCCTCATTACATCTAAAATTAAAACCCAAAGTACCGGGTATACCTGTGAAGGATTATTCTTAATTAAATCATTTGAAGTAGTAGACTCACCTTTATTGAGAGCCACAACTTCTGATGGCATCCTATATAAAGGACATGAAAGAAGGAAACTTTTGTTCCTCACCTGCTTGCCATCACAATTGTAGCAAGTGCATTCCTTCCCTGGCATTATAGCCTACTTCTTCAGGATTCTGGCATATACTCAAGACCAGCTGGGACATCCAGCCTGGTGGACTGAACAACTACTGCATTTCTGGACTTTTCATTGGTAGACAGTCATTGTTAGACTAACCAGACTACAGCCATATACCATTCTAATAAATCCCCCTAATATAATATGTATGTATTTATAACTATACATTATTTTCATTTGGAAACATGGATTTTTGATGGCTAAATATATGTTCAATAGATAGTTAGTTAGTTAGTTAGTTAGATAGATAGATAGATAGATAGATAGATAGATAGATAGATAGATAGATAATAGATTCATTCTATCAGTTCTAGAGAACCTTGACTAATTCAGCATGGAGGAACCTGGGTTAGAAGATGGAGTAGGTTGTGTTCACAGAATTGAGGTCTGTAAAGTTGCCTGACTATATTTTTTTTCTTTCATGGTAGGTGTTTACATAGGCAAAACCATTTCTGGATTTAGGAAATATAATGAAACCATATGGTATGACCTGACAGATATCATCTATTCACAACTTAAAGATGGTAACTTTTCTGGCTGTCTTTTTTTTTTAATTTTTTTATTTTCTTTTATTTATTTATTTAATACAGAATGCAGTTTATTGGAGGGAGGAGGTCTTAAATACAGGCTTACAGCACAATGGGAGAACCCCAGAGGGCAGAAGATCGCTGCTTACAATCTTGCATCTAAGCTGTTAACGACCATGCAGATACACAGACAAGGAACTTCCCTTAAGCATTCAGGAGGGTGGAACCCTGCAGGAAATTAGCATAGGGAGGATATCAAGGTTATCTTCATCATTTTATTTATTTTGAAACTCATTCAGTATTTCTGAAATGTTCTAAAGATCTCTCTGTTTCTAACCTATGGTATGATTTGATTTCTTTCTTCAGAACACCAAGGGCTTACAATAATAGATATGGTTTTAACAAATCATTTTTTAGTCATCCTCACCTCTTTGGGTCTTTATGTAAGTAGTGATCTTCGTTATCCAGAAACTTCACACATACAGGTATGAAAATTTCTTTGTAATTCATTGATAATTCTTAATATCTTCTGTGGTATAAAAAGAAATAGTGTTCAATTTAGTTGTGAATAGTATATCTTAGAACTAAAAACTAAAAAGATGCATAGCATGATACCACAACCTTTTCCTTTGCTTCATAGTATTTGAAGTATAAGTTGAAATTGGCATTAGTCTTATTGCGTACATTTACAGTAAATTTTAAACATGTACAATGGGAAAGACATCATCTATCTGTGGAAGAATAGGAAGAAAAAAAGATAACATAACTGTAGGACAGAGAGAAGAATACAATGAAGTTCCATCAAGAGACTGGATGAGAAGCTACATTAACATTTGGCCATATACCTGCTGGAATACAAAAGAAAGCAAGGGGTGTTTTTGTGTGAGTGTGTGGTGCAGCCTTAAATAAAAAGGTTTGTTACTGTTGGCTAAATGGTGCACTGCTCCTGGCTGGCTGCTGCCAGAGGCAGCCATACTGGCAGAGGACAGTGCTGATTGGAAGAATCACAGCCATGGTTACTTTTTTAGAGCTTTATTGGCAAGGGGAGAGAGAGGGAGAGACAGGGAGAGAGAGGACAGACTGAAGGAGCTGAAAGGAAAGAGAGAACACACAGAGGGCCCACCTGCTTTTTAGGCTGGGACGCCATCACAGGCTGATGACATAATTAAGGACAGACTCCTTACAGTTACACCTTTTGAAACGCAACTAAATTTTTAACTTTCTTTTTTTTCTTCCTCTTTCCTCCTCTTCTTCCTCCAGCTTTCAAGAGCAGACTTTTGTGGTTTTGAAAGGGTAAGACTTTTGATTTCCTAATATGGTTTAGAAGATACACATTCACTTGGTAACTTTCGAAGCAATAATTCACAATCTAGATATTTCTTGCTACCATAAAATTGTTTTCAGTTTATACTAAAAACATACTTCCATAACTATCAGACCCTGGTCATCTCAGCGGGCATCTTTACTCTAATGGGTTCTCTCTTGGCTTGTGGAGATTGCTCAGGCCATGCTCTACACAAAGATGACCAGAAGGAGAGGGGTGAGGCCTGAATCTGGCAAAAGTTTTACTTCCCAATCCACCTGCCCTGACTCTACCCAGAAAAAGGAGCCCTGCCATTTTGGACAAAAACTGCCATGGGATCTAACCACAACTCTATTTCTGTCTTTTGGGGGCACTCTTTCCTCTATTAGTTTGCTTCTCTGTTACAAAATCAGTCTGCCATATGAGGCCATTCTCAAAACATAAGCATGCATTGTCAGTTTTGAAACTGCAAGGAAAATTAAAAATATTCATTCTCAGGCCTTGGGATGTCCCCTTCCATTCTGTCCTGTGTTGTGCACAGTCACTACAAGAAAGAAACCAAACTTATTTCTCAGGAACCAAATAGAACTAACTGTGATATCTAAGTATTGGTGGGAGGAAAAGTGAAATAGAGAACTGGGAAATCAGTAGAGAAAACAAATAAACGATGAAAAGAACAAATGGAAATAGTTTATGTCTTATCTCAAATTTGCATGCTGATTCAGCCAACTGCCAATCAAAAATGTTAGTGTGCTAGTGATGTAGCTAAATGGTAGAGACTTTGTCTTGCATGCTCGGGCTCTGGGTTCAATTATCAACAATACCAATGTATTCAGTGTATACAAACATTGACTTGTGGTTTTACTAAAATAGAATGTGGAAATTATTTTCCCAAACTCAGGGCACTCTGTTTAAACAGTAGAATATGAACTACAATAATGAGATCATGGCTCGTGGCAACACAGGGCAGCAAAGAAAAGGCAAGTAGAGGATCCTGCAGAGAGAACTCACCCTCAGAACTCCAGAAACTATCAAATGGCTTTTCTTATCAATGGGTTGGGTGGGAATGACTTTGAGAGACAAGAGAGAAGACTACTACAAAGGAGAGCTGAGTTTTTTTGGAGCCTCATGTGACAGGCTGAAGGACACCTTCAGGGAAAGAAGGCTTTCCATGGTGAAATTCCAATGTGTGGATACAGCCACTCAAAGGAGTAGAGATCACTGCCTTCTCATATTCAGGCATTGCCAGAGTTTGATGTATTCAGAAAAGCACTCTTGAGTTCTCCCTTCAAAACTATGTCTGAGCTCATCTGGGGTTCCAGCAGAACACAGTCACTAAAATCAAGGATGTTTGAGAATGGTAGTGGTGAAGCAGAGCAACAAAATTTAGTTAGCAAAATCATGATCATACACAGAGTAACTACTATGCTCATTGTTACTGACTCTGTGATATTAAAATAAATAAAAACAGGGTTACTACCATGCTCATTGTTATTGACTCTGAGATGTTAAAAGAATAAAGGAAGCATGACATGGTGGTACATGTCTTTAATCCCAGTACTTGGGAAGCAGAGGCAGGCAAGATCTCTGTGAGTTCAAAGCCAGCCTGGTCTCATCTACATGATGAGTTCCAGGACAGTCAGGACTGAAACACTGTCTCAAAACAAACAAAAAAGGAAGAAGCAGAAGAGAGAAAAAGAAAGGAGGAACAGAAAAGAAAGGCAAACAACATGCATTAGGAGTTTTTGTAGCACAAAAACACATTCTGGGACTAAATTCCACAATTGTAGTTAAAAGTAAAATAAAGTGACGGATAACATAGCCGTTGAGTAGATTCAGACTAGTGCCATAGAAGGTGAAGATGAAGAAACATCTCCATATTTGGGGGAAGTTGCTAGAAATTTCAGAGCAGTGATGATCCTTCAAGAAGAGGTCCAGAAGTTCTACAAGATGAGTGATACAGTTCTCAGAAGGGAGACCAGGTCCCTCACACCTGAGAACATCGTAAAACCTTTGCTTGCCTGTTTCTGATTTGAATATGATTGGAAGTTCTTTGTCCCTGCGTGTTGGTTCTTTTATGTTCGAGTAGAAGACAACGTGTTTTTTTCCTTCTTCCTGTGAATTGCATCTCTGTCTGATTCTTGTGATGATGAAGGAACCCACTGACTTGGCAACAGAGTCATGCTAAAGTAAGCACTCAGTAAACACTGTTGAACAAATGGATTAGCAGTTTACTTTGGAAGAGAAATAGAATTTTCAGAAAGAAAAGAAAACAAAGAGCAACAAAATAATAGAAGACAATTGCACTGAAATTGAAAATGATCTGAGTCTAGGGATCTAGATCAGTTGGTAGGATATGTGGCTGATATACAGTAAGCTCTGGGTTCCATTCCCAGCACTTCATATATTAGGCATGATTATGCATAATTGTGATCCCAGCACTCAGATTACAAGGTCATCCTCATGGCAAGTTAAAGACCAACCTAGGTGGCATGAGATTCAGTCTTTAAAAATATTGAATGAATGGCAAGCTTGAGGGGAAAAAGCACATATGCTCAAATTCTAGTAATTCTCCTAAACTGGAAGACTAGAGAGAAATGGTACACAAGTTTCTTGTGATCATTGATTTTGATTGTCAACTTGACTGATATGATAGATTTCTAAAGCATTTGGTAAAACACACTTCTCGATCCTGCCCCGGACTTCTCTTCTGGACCAGCAGTGAGTGTCCAGGCTCAGCCTAGACCCCATCCCTGGGCACCAGCCACTCCGGGGAAGATCTGCTCAACTTGTTCCCAGGTTCTGGCCACTGGGCAGGTTCCCTTCTAGCCCTACCAGGAAGGATCCCCTTCTCCAAGACCCCTGGCAGACACTGCAATCTCCTCACCCTGCCCCAAAACCCATCCGCCCAAGACCCCCGGCCACTTCCTGAGACTTAGAGACCAGCCCCCAGCTCCCATTCTGCCCTGGATTTCCTGTCTGGACAAGAGCTCCCATCCTGCCCCGGACGTCCCGTCTGGACAAGAGCTCCCATCCTGCTCTGGACTTCCCATTTGGACAAGAGAGCTCCCATCTGGACAAGAGAGAGACTTACTGAATCTGTCAGCTCTGTCTGAACCAAGTGCGCTGATAAGACCAAGAACGAACTACAAGGAGATGGGCAGATATCAAGGCAGAAGTACATACAACAAAATGAAGAGCAATACAGCATCACCAGAACCTAGCCCTCCTCCAACAGTAGACATGAACATCAAAAATTGGAAGAAGCAGAAGAAAACAGCATTATGAATAACATCATGAAGAAGGTAGAGGCTTATATAGAGGATAAGACAAAATAAAAATTGGGAAGAATGCTATAAAAAAAACTAGAGGAAAGGACAAATAAAGTAGAAGAAAACAATAAAGTCCTAGAAGAAAACAATAAATCACTGAAAGAAAACCATGAAAAAGCAATGAAACAAATGAAGGAAACAGTCCAAGACCTGAAAAGGGAAATAGAAAAAATGAAAAAGACATAAACAGAGGGAATGCTGGAAATAGAAAATCTGAGTAAACGATCGGGAAATTCAAATGCAAGTATAACCAACAGAATGCAAGAGATGGAAGAGAGGATCTCTGGCATTGAAGATGCGGTAGAAGAAATAGATTCATCAGTCAAAGAAAACACTAAAGCCAACAAAGTCATGAACCAAAATGTCCAAGAAATTTGGGACACCATGAAAAGACCAAACCTACAAATAATAGGGATAGAAGAAGGAGAAGAATACCAACTCAAAGGCACAGAAAATATATTCAACAAGATCATAGAAGAAAACTTTCCCAGCTTAAAGAAGGAAATGCCTATGAAGATACAAGAAGCATAAAGAACACCAAACAGGCTAGACGCCCCCCCAAAAAAAGTCCCCTAGCCACATAATAATTAAACAACTGAACGTACAGAATAAAGAAAGAATATTAAGAGCAGCAAAGGAAAAAGGCCAAGTGACTTATAAAGGCAAACCCATCAGAATAACACCCGATTTCTCAATGGAGACTTTGAAAGCCAGAAGGACCTGGACAGATGTAATGCAGACACCAAGAGACCATGGATGCCAGCCCAGACTAACATACCAATCAAAACTTTCAATCATCATAGATGGAGTGAACAAGACATTCCAAGCCAAAGCCAAATTTAAACAATACTTATCCACAAACCCAGCCCTACAGAAAGCACTAGAAGGGAAATCCCAACCTAAGGAAGTCAGATACACCCTCAAAAACACAGGCAATAGAAAAAGCCACAGCAGTAAACCCCAAAGAAGAGAAGTACACACACACTACCACCAAAAAATAACAGGAATGAACAATCACTGGTCATAAATATCCCTTAATATCAATGGATTTAATTCACCTATAAAAAGACATAGGCTTACACAATGGATACAAAAGTAGGACCCATCTTTCTGCTGCATACAAGAAACACATCTCAAATTCAAAGATAGACACTACCTAAGAATAAAAGGCTGGGAAAAGTCTTTCCAATCAAACAGCCTTAAGAAACAAGTGGGTGTAGCCATCCTGATATCCAGCAAAATAGACTTCAAACTAAAATCAATCAAAAGAGATCAAGAAGGGTATTACATACTCATCACAGGAAAGATCCACCAAGATGAAGTTTCAATTCTGAACATTTATGCCCCAAATACAAGGGTACTCACATATGTAAAAGAAACATTACTAAAGCTTAAACCACATGTAAAACCCCACACATTAATAGTGGGAGACCTCAACACCCCACTTTCACCACTGGACAGATCTCCCAAATCGAAACTTAACAGAGAAATAAAGGACTTAACTGATGTCATGACTCAAATGGACCTAATATATATCTACACAACATTCCATCCTAACAAACAAGAATATACCTTCTTCTCAGCACCTCATGGAACCTTTTCTAAAATCAAAAACATTCTTGGCCACAAAGCAAATCTCAACAGATACAAAACAATTG